GCCCCCGGGGGGCTCTGTAACGCCCGGTGCTTTTCCTGACAGGGAGTGGGAGGAGGGGAACCAGCGCTGGGTGCAGGAGGTGTCCAGCGCGCCCAGCACCCGCCTGGACGTCGTCCGCTTGGAGGAGCAGCTGGACCTGCAGCTGCAGCAGAGGGAGGGGGGGGGGGGCGGCGGCGGCATCTGCCCCGTGCGCAGGGAGCTCTACTCGCAGTGCTTCGGTCAGTGCCTCCGGCCCCCGCGCCTGCCCACACCCCGACAGCCACAAACACCCACCCCAGCAGCTTCTGTACACAGCAGTTTAGCGTTTTGTTCACAGAGCTGACACTCAGAGCCACGCAAAGGTGTGCTTATGCATACATGACAGTAAAAGATGCAAAGCAGCTTAAAATTTACTTGTGGTTAGCGACAACAGTTAATTTGAAAGAACTTAAACCAGTGTATAACCGTTAAGTTCTCTTACACATGCTGATGATGTGGTGCTGGTCTTCCAAAAGCAAGAGATTGCCATTGCTTTGAGGCTCTTGATGCTTCTGAAGTTTCCAGTAACTGCAAAAACAATACAAATTTGCTGTTACAGCATTAGTGGACCAGTATCACTGTTGTTACCACAGGTTCTGTACCACAACTCTGCTTTTATTTGCTAGCACTTGATGTAGAGCCGTAACGTAACCCAAAAAATGCTATCTGTACTAAATCCAGGTTGCTTTTGTGGTGCAGAGGATAGGTAAAGGAACCGAGCTCTAGACCTTGCCTGTATCCAGCATTCCCAGTAGTAGTATCCAGTAGTACAGTAGCTACTCTAACTAGATTGTTGTACCCTTTCTTTGAAGATGAACTGATCCGTGAAACTACAATTAACTGCGCAGAGCGAGGGCTGTTGCTGCTGCGAGTCAGGGATGAAATCCAAGTAACAATCGCTGCTTATCAGGTGCTGTATGAGAGCAGCGTTGCGTTTGGCATGCGGAAGGCTCTACAAGCCGAGCAAGGCAAAGCTGACATGGAAAAAAGAGTAAGTCGGGCTGTTAATCCCGTAACGTAGCCTAAGGATATTACAGGTACAATTTTGTGTGACATGAGTTACTTCTGTGTCCACTGGATGGCAGTAAAGATCGTCAAAATACCGTCTTACTGCGTTCCTTGGGCTTAATTGCACTTCTTAAATTATGTGCTATTATCTGGAATACTTTAAAGACTGTACAACGTATGGCTTTGTGTCATCTTAACTGAAAATTGATTCTTTGCAAACAAAACTTGAGAGATCTGTACTCTTCTCCAAGATTGCAGAGCTGGAAGAGGAAAAGCGGGAGTTGGAAAGACAAGTGAGTGAACAGAAAGCTAAATGCGAAGCCATTGAAAAATATCACTGTGAAAGGCGACAGACAGAAGAAAAGAAACTCCTTGGAGAGGTTCAGTTCCTGAAACAGACAAACCAACAGCTGAAGGTCAGTAAAACCAGAGAATTCCAAACAGAAATGGTAAGACTTCTCATTTTGTGATTAGAAAGATGTAAAAATAACTTTCTCCTTACAGTGTTACAAGTGTTACCTTTATGATGCGTTTGTATTAACGCTCCACTCTTTAAATTCACAACAAAATGGGAAACCGGTGCTTTTGCATTCTCCGCTTCCTCGCTCGCCTGCCAGACAGGCATTGCTAGTAAACCTGGGGATGCAGCGGGTCAGCCTAACTGCATCCTAGCGATGCACACGGTTGCCAGGGGGAGATCAGAACGTGTTCAGAGGATGATAAATTGCTGCAGTCAGCTGGAGAAGAGCCGCCGCGTGCAGCTGAACCCCAAATGGTTCAAAGTGGACTGAAACCCCAGGAATCTACTTCTGCGTAACTCGATGGCAAGGTTGTAAGTTACACCCCTTCTCAACTCCTAAGAGTCAAGTGAAGGCACATGAAGGTGGTTTGTTTCTTTGCTGCTGGCCATTAAACTGACTCCCTGATAACAGGACAGTATTTAACAGTCAGCATTACCCAAGAACAAGTGTGTACTTACACAGCAGGGACTGCACAGCTGCAGGAGCAATTCTGTGCGTGCTGCTCTGCTGAGAAACAGAGCTTCTGCTCATTACTTCCCTTTGGAAAGTTAAAAATCCCATGTCTTTTGAGTACAGAGGAAGTGTTACCACAAACAGTAAAGGTTTTCAGCTCTAAGAAACATTTCCTTCACACCAAACTGCTTTCCCCACCTTCACTGTTCTACAGCTTCTCCCTTCAAAACCATTAACACCTTCAGGCCACCCTGAAATGTTTTAGGGCACAAGAAGGGAGTAACTGCAAGATCTTGCTACTGAACCGTGTTTTTTCCCTGAAGTACAAGTGCTGTAGCAGCTGTGTGTCTAGCAGGGCTGTAGTTTATTTTGATGGCAGCTCCAGGAAGAGGACAGTCGAAGAGCCCTGGCAGCCTCGTGCACCGCACGCTCCCCACGCATGGGCACCGCTCCGACCGACCGACTAATTGGGCGTCAAGTCGTCTCAGTAACTGAGAAACTTGCTGTTCCCAGCTCCTTTTGTCCCAGAGTCAGGGCTTGTGTTCCAAATGCTGGAGAGCCAAATATTGAATTCAGCTAACACAGCCCAGCCTGAAATCAGAGAATTCAGACCACTGTTTCAACAGCTTTTATTTAATTTCCTCTTCAATGCTTTACATTATAAGACGAATCTTTCATTGTATGGAACCAAAGCCAGCTCTTTTCTTCTCAGAATGCAACAAGTGTGTATGCCAAGAATGAAAAGCTAATTTATAAAACATGTAGTAAGGAATGGAATAGCTAGGGAAAAAAAAAACCCCAACCAACCCTGGCCTGCTTCTCATGAAGTATTGCAGCATCCCTCAGCGCCTCGCTTTGAGTATCTAACAGACAATTTATCACTTTTCAGCGATGCGGGGTTATGTTTTAGGTTGAATCTAATTTGACTTACTGTCTCATTTGTTTTTCAGGCCCAACTTGAAAGCATCATTGCACGAAACAAGTAGATTTGTTTCGTTGTCCTCCAGGCAATGCTCAGAAGAGCTGTCAGAGTAAGAAGTTTGTAATTAGTGACAGAGATTTGTCTTCATAAAACACTCTTTTAATTTTCACTCACCGGTAACTGAAGGCAGCGTAACTGTGTTCTTTTTCTCCTGAAGAGTTGAAATTCAAGAGCTTCATTAATTACCGCACCCTCTTCCCACGTTGTCTCAGCACTCTGCTCCTTGAATGGCCAACCTGCCTGCTGGTAGCGTGCTAGATGAACTTAAATTAACTAATAAACATTTCTGTATGCAAGCACCTCTGTAACATTATTATTTTGAAGACGTAGAAAGTTCAGAACCAACGTACAAAGTGTCTACAATAAGTGATACTCACTACGAACCACGCTGCAGGTGGCTGGGCAGGTGTTGGGAGGGTATTTCCTCCACTAAGAGCAAGTTGGTGTTACTTGGGTATCCAAATTCCTTCTCAGAATCGTTAGTAGTAACCCAGAGGAGCAACCCCAAAGCTCTGGACAGGTTACTACTAATGAGACAGAAGGGTACAATGCCATTCCAAGCATCACTTCTTGGTGGAAGCAAACGAAATCTTGAGATGAGGTACCTGTGTAACGAGCTGTCCTACAGGGCAAGCAGACGTGGGAAAGATAATTCACCGTATGAAAAACCCCATAAAGCTCGTTTCCAGAAAAAAACAACCCCAACAACCAAAACCACCACCCCTGAATAACACTTCAGGATATGTTTTGCCAGTGCAGTGTTTACTGGCCTTAGATGGCGATGTGGAAATACCATGATCTCCAGTTGCATAAAGAACTTTCAGATGATGCAGAAACAAAGAGTGAGATGCTACTCCTGGGAACAAGACAGACAAGTCACACTAGGCTTTGAATGGGAACTATAAGTTTTATATTAAAAAAAGCCACTGCACACTAGAGCTGGTTTATGTAAAATTTAATAGAATAAGCAGTTATTGCTTATGTTTGTATTTTTTGTGCTTTGATCTTTGTTCCTCCAAGCCAGTTTTTTTCTTGTTCTTGTTCTTATTTTTCACGTTGTGAGTTTCATAATACCGGACTCCAACTTTCTTGGACCGCTGCTGCCTCTCAGCTCGTCTCCTCTGCAAATCCACACAAAACACATTAGCCAATCCACAGTATCCATAGCCTGGGTTTGTTTGCATTCCTTCAATTGTTGTTCGCTATGCATTCCGCATGCTTTAAGTAAAATAAATAGCTTCAAACCAAACGTTACTGATGGGAATATATGCACATCCCTATGGAACCCACCCATCCGCGCTCTTAAAACGTGACAAAGGGAAACACCAAAGGAGTAAACAAGATGCAAGAGGCAAACTGATGTGCAGAGTCACGTAAGAGGTTGTAACAGAGTATGTGACACAATGCTCCAACAGAATTCAGTCTTCTGTTCCCCTGACAGCCATAACTGTCCACAGCAACGCTCCACAAAGTCCTACAGCTTCACTCGGTGTATCAGTTATTCTAGAAGAATTTAGGCTTGACTAACATGAACAGAAGACAGCAGCAGCTGCCCATCTAGTTCCCAATCCCCCTCCCAGCACGCAGACCCCTCTCTCCTTAGAGCACCAGTGGGCAAGCCAGCGCTGAAAAGAACAGTTAACCACCGAGGATTCTCCCCTCCAACACGCTCTCCGTCGTGGTTACTGCTGGACCCTTTTGTGGGCCCACGCTGGAACATGCTGCTGTCACATCTCGCATCACCCTGCCTTCACATTCCCCCCACCCCAGCTACAGTCCCTGCGTTCTCCCCCTACTAGTGCCCAGCCTCAAGGCTCCTAAGCGACAGTGGGCAATCTATGTGTAAAAAAAGCCAGCTCTAGTACTCTGCTCATTTCTTTTACTAGAAGAAATCACACTTACTTCTTTGGATGTAAGTTTCTTGCAAGGCTCTTTACCCAAATCATCATCATCATCATCTTCCGCTTTCCTTTTTCTTTTGTTCTCTGCGCTGCCTGCAAACAGCAGAGATCACACACTCAGGCACCTTCCAGAGCACCCATCTGTTTGCAGAACTTACTAGGGTCAGCAGCCCATCTCCTTCTGCAAGGCATTCCTTTGGTTGTATTTAAGAGCTTCCACCAAAACAACACGCATGTTCCTCACCAGAGACTCGCTCGCTGTTACTATGACAACGGCTCTTTGGGAGCCGATTGCTTAAAGCCCCATGCAAGCCCAGAGTCCCAGCGTCCTGTCCGAACAGGGTTCTCCGCAGGATTTTGCCTTTACTCAAACTTACTATGGAAACTGAAGCCACAGACTCCACAGTACAACCTATAGCCTGAAGTAGCTCTGCGCTTTTATTATGTCGTAAACCCTCCGCTCCCTCCTGTGTAATATTACACCGTGTGGAACGGAAGCTGCTCGGCCTGCATGCCCCCCGTAGCACCGTTCTTTTGCCAACACATTTGTCTTTGCTTTACCCTCACTCATAACTTCTTCTACAGAAAGGCTACAGCAAGGTTGTCAGGCAGCCCTTGGGTTAGCTGTGGGAAGACTCAAACCGCTTTTGGGGAGAAAGAACTTGCAATCGGGAGCTAATGAACGTTTCTCCCCCTAACTCCCTCTCTCACCTCACTTAGGGGATTTCCAAATGTACATTAAGAATATCCACTAATCCTGTTTTACCTCTGTCTTCAGTTTCTTTGGGTTCTTCAGACTTCTGCATGGATTTGGCAAACACTTTTTCACTCAGCTGCTTAGGGATTCTACAAAAATAAAAAATAAACAATAAAAGAATGACGTACACAAAAAGTAACGGTCTCCGAGAAGTGATCACTCTCCAGTAGATCCCAGTAGCCCTTCAGCAGCAAAACCATAGCCTTTGCACCTACAAAACACCTTACAGTGATCTTGTCCCTGGGGTTACTGGGCTTGTGCACTGCACAAAGGGACAAGATATACCACTTAACCTTGAAATCTTAGTCCTCACAGAGCTAGTGGATGAGCTTTGCTGAAACTGGGCCTGATGCATGAGCTAGGATCCTCTTGTCACACGCCTGGAGACCCAGTTGGCATATCCAGGTAGGACACTAGCCTTGGTATTGCTCAAGAACGAGCCCCACGTCAAGGAGAGATGCAATACTGCTGCCCAGAATACCAAGAGATTTCTAATCCGTAGCTTAAGAGGCAGCTTTCCAAGAGCGAGAACATTTTTAGCGATGCTGCTAAGTAGGACTTCCTGGAATAATCTATCAAAACCAAACTGCTGCTTAGCCAAAGTTCAAGTATTTATGGCTAAAGTAGATAAGCTGTGGCAGCTTGTGTGTGGTAACACAGAGGAAGCAGTCAAGCGAGTCATGAATGCAGCGAAACTGCAGCAGAACCACATTAACCCTTTCCCCCATCGTGAAATACCGGAGTCCCTGAACAGATTCAGATACCTTATTGCTGAGAATCTCTTGGCTTTGGCTTTATCCAGAAATTTTTTGTATTTTGCAATCTTCTCCTCCAAAGCCTTAAGAACTGCCTTAGAGCTCTCCTTGGCACCTGGCGCAGCAGACTGCGACTCCTCCTCTACTGAACCTTGATGCTGCTCATTTTCCTCTCCCTCCTCCTCCTGCCCCTCCTCTCCAGAGGAATCGCTGTCTGTTTCAAAGCCTGGCACATCCACCGGAACCAGGTCTTCTTCCGAGAACTGAGGTGCCACGTTAATCCTCCCAAAGTTCTGCCGAACGTGTGACATGAGCTGCTTGATTTCAGTGTCCGTGTGATTATTCTCCTCTGCTGGCTCCACACTTGATGCTACTGACTCCGAGACTTTCTCCTCGTTATTATCTTGGCTCGATGGCATAGCTACTTCCAAGGAGGGAGGCTACAAGAAAGAGGGTAACGGATATGTTATCCACAAAGTCTGTCCCACCATCTCCAAAGGCAATATCTGTTCTACCTCTTTGGAAAAACCCTAAGATGTCAGGCTAATGATGCGATAATTACTGACGTTTCCGGTAGTCTGATGATGGTGAAATGGCTCAGACATCTCTGAAGAGCATCGCTACATGGTCTTTGCCAAATTCAAGTGAGTGTCACCTGAACCACCAGACTTGGGCAGAGCCCAAAACTAGCACTGCCCAAGTCACATGGCACGCTGGGAAAACCAGGAGTGAACACCTTTAGGAAAACTGAGTCATACAGGAGAAGAGCAGGCACTAGCATCACATTCTCACCTGAGGACCGGATTCTGCATTTGGTGGCTTCACAAAGAATGGGATTCTGCCTCTCTGCCAGTCATTGAGAACCATCTTGCTCACAGTCTGCAAGTCAGGCTCACCACCCTGAAAGAACCCAGGAACAATTTATGTCCACGTTTGCAGGGCACACCACCCTTCTATTACCTGTGAGCAACAGGAACGTTCCTATTTCCCATGTTCAGTTACAGGCCACATGCTCTTCCAGCCTGCAAATGCAGAAAGCTGTCACACCTTTAGCAGTTTTCCAGTCCTAGAAGCAAGTTTCTCAAGGAAGTCTTCTGTATCATCCCAGGAATCAATTTTGTACGTCTTTCTTATGTACTCTGGTTTGGCTCTTTCCAGCACGGCACTAATGTGATCTTCAGGGCTCTTAATCTTTTCAACTTGAACCTGAAAATGAATGGGAGAACATCAATCCTTTGGGAAGTGCAGTCATTTCTTTGAACCCAGCACAGCAAAGACGCTCCAGCAGTCAGTGCAGATACATACCACCCCCTTCAGCACAATGTCCGTTTCTGTGTCTCCAGATGGATAAACCACGCCCGGGCAGTCGATGAGAAAAATCCGCCGCATCAAGGTAATGTACTGCCATACCTGAAAGAGATCGGTCGGTCCCCACGTTACCTCCTTCCACGCAGCCCCCTGTTCTGCTTCTGGAGAGACAGCAGTCACCGTAGGAACGCGGTAGTCACGCACAAACAGGTTTAGTTAGCTAGCCACGACGTACTGCACCTCGCTCCTCCTGCTCAGCCAATGCCATCCCTACGGTTTTGCA